AGCTACTGGTTGAGATGGAGTCTTGAGAACTTTTTGCCAGGGCTGGCCTCAAATTGTGACCCTCCTGATCTCTGCCTCCTGAGTAGCTGGGATTACAGGTGTGAGCTACCCTGTCTGGCTCCTCTTATGATTCTTATTTTTAATTTTTAAAAATTATTTTTATTTTCTCTTATGATTTTTTTAAAAAATACTTTATTTTCAGAAGAGGATGCATATCATGATGATATCAATTTTCCCTAAATTAATCTATGTAAATTGATTTGAGAGAATAAACAAACAGCTAATAAAATACTAGGAGACACCTATTGCCCTACTAAATATTTCAATATATCCTAACCTTTATTATTGTAGAATATAAAGATTTATGAATAGGCTAGAACAGTTTTTAATCCTAAATGTATATAGTTTACCAGGTGATAGAGTGGACTTTTTAAAGCAGTGGAGAAAAGTTACATTTTTTTTTAAATGGTGCTGAGACAACTGGCTGGCAACATAGTCTGGGAAAAGGCAAGGTCCTATCTTAGTCTGTTCTCTATTGCTATAACAAAACACCTGAGACTGTGTAACATGTAAAGAAAAAAGGTTTACTTTGACTGGCATTTCTGAAAGCTGGAAAGTCTGAGATCTGGTGGCAGCACCTGGCAAGGGCTTTGTGCTACTTCAGCTTGTGATGGGAGCAGAAGGGCAAGTGGGCCATGTGCAGCAGAAGCCCAAGAAAGCCCAGGAAGCCAAACTTACTTTATATCGACCTGTTCTTGTAGCTACTCCAGTCTGGGAGAGCAAGAACAAATTCACATGAGGAAAGCATTAATCCTTTCATGAGGGCTCTGCCCCATGATCCAAACTCCTCCCACTGGGTCTTGTCTCCCAACACTGCCAGCTGGCCAGACCTCAAGAGGAGTTTTGTGGGAACAAATGCAATTCCAACCTTAATAGATCCTTACCTGATTTCTCACACAAAAGTAAATTCCAGAGGGGGACAACATTAAAAGTAAGGAAAAAAAAATCTCCTAACAGAACTAAATGAAACATAGATTAGTATTCTTTACAACTGGGAGTGAGGGAAGGCTGTTTGTCTTAGCATGACAACCCCTCCTTCCTCCAGACACCTTTATGAAAAAGATTGATCCACTTGGCTATATAAAATAATGAAAGGGCTCTACATGATATGGAAACGCTGTAACCATGGTTGAAAGGAAGTTAAATGAAATGGCAATGACTAAGGAATAATTTAATTCATATATAAAGTACTTTTGTCAGCCAATATTTATAAAAAGGAGCACATGAAAAAGAAACATGGGTGAAGGACATGAGCAGAGGGAATTCACACCAGTAAAAAATACAAATTGCTAATAAAAAGGTATTGCTAGTCATTTTCCTGACTGCAAACAACAGAAGCTGACACCGGTTCGTTTTGGCAATAAAGGAATTTATAGGAAGCCTATCAGGCTAGTTCACAGAAGAAACAAGAGCTGGAGAGACAGGCTCAGGCAGAAACCCAGGGAGGCAGACACCGTGAGAACTTGCCACCGGAGCTGCCAGCTAGATGCGCGCTGCCACCATCAGGGACCGTAAGCGCACGCCACCACATCCTTCCTTAGAGCAGTCCACGCTCCTTGAGGGGGCTGATACGGACCTTGGCAGGGAATTAGGAAACCTGATGGCCGAGAACCACGGTTTGGTGGTTGATAGGGCGTCACATCCTAGACTGGTGATATTAACGGAACGACTTGTGACACACAGCAGGGTCTCGCTGACATCCACAGTTCCCACAGCCTGTAGGAAATGACAGCCAATCTGACCATCCAAGGCCAAGAACTTCCCCTGCTCGACATGTGGGAGAGCTGATGACTCGTAACTCAGTCTGTGGAACTTAATGATACATAACCTGGCCTTCCAGGACTGACCACCCCACGTCTACAGAGCCCCATAAAAGCCTGAGGTCTTGGGATCCCCAGTATGCACTCTTCTTGGCCAGCCCCTCTTCCCTCCTCCCCCATCTAGAGAGTGTGCTTTCACTCTGACTTCACTTTGCTTTGCATTAATAAACCTGCTCCTGCTAACTGTCCTCTGAGTCTGTCCTTGAATTCTTTCCCGGATGGGATCAGAACTTTCTGGTTCCTGGACTGAGAGATCTGAATCCAGTAACAGATTCACCAATTCTGCATTATCTCCTACTAACCCTGTGTCAACACTTCCAAAGTCCAGGAAGGTGCACCTGGTAGATCTCTCTCACTTCACCTTCCCAGGATCTAGCTAACAGAGGTAGGAAGGGGACACCTTCTCCCCTATCTCTCTGCCCCCTTTTCATAATGGGTTGCCTTTCCTAATTGGGTATCTCTTTCAGTGAGGAAGTTAGTTTAGCTCTGGGATAGCTGAAAGACCAGCACGTATTCAATCTCACTCATACAAATGAGAGCACATTCATATGACAGCAAGATCATCAAATGTTTTTCATGTTTAATAAAATATATTGCTGTCTGCCTGCTACTTATCAGCACAGTAGGAAGAACTTTAAAACGATACTAAATAATACCCACCAAAAGATGAAGAAACAGGCATTTATCCTTCTCACAGATGAAAAACAGATTCTCAAAGAAATAGACATTCTCCCCCCACCACCGCCCAAACTTCCAAGAATTAACTTATAGAAATCCATGTCTTACGAGCTCCCAGGGAGGACACAGACATCTGGGTTATTCCCATCAAAGTTGTCAGGGTGAGAAAGACAAGAAAACTCAAGACTGTATCGGAGGTGGGAACTGTGTACGCTCTATTCGTTGTTGGCTAGATAAAACCTTCCTGGAGGGAAGGCACGAGGGGTCAAATATGACCTGCATATTGTCCTCTAGCCAAAGTTCAGTCTAAGGCGAGAGCTGCAGGGCAAGGTGCAGGTCACGGTAGCACTCACCCTTTGTTGTTTCTAGTTTGGGTTTCCCTAGCTGAAGTGTCAGAGATGGCAGTGGAAGGCTTACAAAAAGAATGCTGTTGGGAGTGGGTCTTAAAGCAAGAACATTTAGCACTCCAACTAGGGACTCTTGCAAGCCTGCTCCAGCCAAGCCAGGGGTGGATGGCCTTGAGAGCCCTGGGGACCGATAAGCCTAAAATAGTAGGAGGGGCCAGACTGGGAAGGGAATCCTCAGGTGTCCCACCAGGAGTTGACACTGTTGTCAAGTAATTGATGTGCTGCACGATGCCACCTCCATCCAGTGATGAGTCAGATGGGTCCTTCTGGGTAGAAGCCTACTCTTTGGTGAAGGTAATAGATTGCAAGCTGAATTCCAAAATGGCCAAACCAGTGTCATGACTGAGAGGCACTGCAAGAGCCTGAAAGGATGCCTTCTGGAGGGTGTGACATCTTTGGGTGAGGAGAGGTTAGCAAGGCGAAGGAGTTCATGGAAAGATGTTCACAGGGGATTGGACAAAGGCTTGGAACAGCAAGCACACGTGTAAAGGTTGAGGGCCATTGTGTTCACCTTTAGTGTGAGTGGTCAGGTGACTTTCTTCCTGCTGTTCAGGAGTTCAAGGTGCAGTGAGTCTTTTGACTAGCAAGAAGAGGTGCCAGCGTTTTGGGCCAGGACAGAGCACCCCTGGGGTAGCACCATCGGACCCTGTTTACTATGGGATGGGAAGCCAGAGGCAAAGGACATTTGCTTTGAAATGGGTGAAAGGCGGCCTTCATGTTTTAAAAAGGTGAATGACTCTCTTTTTTTCCCTGATTTTTCCCTTCTGCAGTAACCAGGACTTGGTTAGCTCTGTTAGCAAAGAGAACATACAGAGAGAAGGTAAGGTTCAAACCAGTGCTTTGGGGGCTGGAGGCAGCTTTGCATTACCTTTTCTTTTGAAATTGAACCAACATTAAAAATACGGTTTCCACCTTTTCTTTAAAAATCAAATAATCTGGCAACACTGAGCCCTCATTCTCGCACGGGAGCAACAGACAAGAGCTGAGTGGTAGTTTCTCCTTTGACGAATGTTAACTTACAGTTCGCCCTCATTCCCATCATTCCTTACACGCCCTGGAGCACAGAGAGTGAAGTCCCCTGAAGTATTACCGGGTCAATGGAAGATTCTTCCCCAGGATTTCTCACTCATTGCTATGCCCCGTCTGCTCCTTGTGATACTTGTGGGTCTCTAATCCTTGGTTTAGAATTTAAATCAAGCCTGGGTTTGAATGTGGGGAAATCTGAAAGGCACTGAATTGAAGATTAAAGAAGATATTCCATGTTTGGCACAGCGGAGGCTATCGTAGGCATCTACTAAAAGTGCAAGTTTTAGCAGGGCAGGCAGAAACCGTGTTAGTCTCATTCTTTTAGTACCCCCAGCGTCTGGCATGCAGCAGGCGCGCGGTAGCTGTTTGTTGAATGAATGAATGAAAGAATGAATGCATGATAGGAGAACCCAGTGGGGTTTTAAAGGCTGGACTTTTCAGGAAGGCCATTCTGATAACACTGTTTTCCTAGGACCCTAAGGTGCAGCTTGGAAGAAAAACGCGCCAGAATGTGCCAGGCTGTGTGCCTGGTGGGGTTCGGGTGGTACTCAGGTGTACCTGCAATGTCCCTCGGGAGCCAGGCAAGGCTGACTCGCCCAGGACCCACCAAAGCTATGTCTGATATTTGGTAAGGGGCAAGCAGCCCGACTTCTGCACGTTCCCTAGACCTCCGCCATCCGATTAGCACAGCCCCAGCTCCACCCCTGTCATCCGCCACCCAGCGTTCTCCTCCACGCCTGGACCATGCCCACACCAAACATGGCCTCCCTCCGGCTTCACGCCGCAGGACCGCGCCCGGAGCCGCGAGTTCCCGCGTGGGGTTGGAGGCGCAGCCGCGTTCCCACAGTCAACATGGCGGCCAAGTCGGCTTCAGCGCGGGGCGGGCGGCGGTCACGTGAGCGGCCCAGCTGGGCAGACCGCGCGCGCGCCCGCCCGCCCCGCCGGCTGCCGCTAGCTCGCTCGCTGGCTCGCTCGCAGGCTTGGCGGCGTCGGGAGCTGTGTGGGGCGTCGGGCCCCGGGCCCGGTGAAGCGCGGCGCGGCGGGATGCGGCGACGGCCGTGGCGGGGCCGCGGGCCGGCCGAACGGGCGCGGTGATGAGCGTCGGAGGCCGCCGCCATGTCCAAGGTAACGGCGCCCGGGCCCGGGCCGCCGGTGGCGGCGGCAGGCGGGAAGGAGAAGCGCTCCTTCAGCAAGCGGCTGTTCCGGAGCGGCCGCGCGGGCGGTGGCGCGGGGGGCCCGGGACCGGCCGCGCCCTCGTCGCCGTCCTCGGCGCGCTCTGTGGGCAGCTTCATGAGCCGTGTCCTCAAGACGCTGTCCACGCTCTCGCACCTTAGCTCCGAGGGCGCCGCCCCGGACCGCGGCGGCCTCCGCAGCTGCTTCCCGCCCGGCCCGGCCGCCGCGCCCACGCCGCCGCCGTGCCCGCCGCCGCCGCCGCCCGCCGCCGCCGCGCCCGCGCCACCCGCCTGCGCGGCCGAGCCAGTGCCCGGCGTGGCGGGGCTCCGCAACCACGGCAACACGTGCTTCATGAACGCCACGCTGCAGTGCCTCAGCAACACCGAGCTCTTTGCCGAGTACCTGGCGCTCGGCCAGTACCGCGCGGGCCGGCCCGACCCCGACCCCGACCCCGACCCCGAGCCCGAGCCCGAGCCGCCCGCCGGCCGCGGCGCGCAGGGCCAGGGCGAGGTCACCGAGCAGCTGGCGCACCTCGTGCGCGCCCTGTGGACGCTGGAGTACACGCCGCAGCACAGCCGCGACTTCAAGGTGAGCCCGGGAGCCCGCCGGCGAGGGCAGGTGTCGCGCGCCCGTGCCGCCAGCGTGCACTTTTTGAGCGCCCACTGCATCCATCCGCCGATGGGAGGAACCGAGCCGAGCCTGCACGGGAGTGTAGTTTCTGACGTCAGGTCCCCGTCCTGCCACGCAGTAGCCAGTGTGATCCCGGGCAGGTACTGAGCCTCTCTGTGCCAGTTGGTCCATCAGGTGCTTACCTACCTCATAGCAAACAAGTTAGGTTAGGCTGGACGCAGACGGTATCCATTGCTGGCTGTCTTCTACTTACAGATGGGCACTTTTGAGTGTCATCTTCATGGGTACAGCACTGTAACTTGTGCCTGGCACCCTATGCGTTTACTGCTATTTTGATTTTTGATCGTAAGCACTTCAATAAACAGGCTAGGTAATATCATTACTGGTTTGAAGCAAGCGCTGGGGGCTGCTTGAACTTGACGAGTGGCTGGCAGGCCCTGGTTTGTGATCTGCTGGGCTGGGCGGAGTGGTGGCTGGGCCCAGGTGGGTAGGGAGGGTACTTAGGCTACAGCAAGGAGCAGAAGGGGAGATGACTGGAGATTAAGTAGGGGGCACTGTCTGGTGGGACCTGGATGTGGAATGAAGTCACAAGGTGAGAAGGGCACTTCCTTATCTGTTCTCTCTGTTCTGATCATGCTTGGGAGAGTCCCAGCTTGATGTTAGCTTGCTTTAAACCCCTCTTGCTCATCCCCACATCCCCCCTTTGTTTTGATTCTTGCTTATTTTTAAAGCAGAGAAATCAAGCTTCAAGTTTAGAAGCTAAATTTAATAAGGTTAACCCCATTTAAGTTTGTTTCTTCACTTCTATTTGTGGCAAGTGTACTGACTTCCGTTGGTGCTCTCAGGTGTCTTTCTGAAATACATTTATGTAAGAGAACGATTGGATTATGACATACAGGGCGATGTAGCAGGATCTGCACTTGCTTAGAGTCCTGCTTTTCTTTCTTTTTTTTTTGGTGACAGAACTGGGGTTAGAACTCAGAGCCTCATGCTTGCTAGGCAGGCGCTCTACCACTAGAGCCACTTTGTCAGCTCAGTGTCCTGCTTTTCTTCTGAAGAGCAAATTGTGGTCGTGTACCTCTCTGTTAGAATAGTTCTCACTTAATGTTTGATTTATGTTGCTCAAAACAGAAAAAAAAAGTTTGCTGTTTGATCTTGAAAGTTTGAATGGAGATACTTGACTGAAGTAAGGACTGGTGAAAAATGAGGTCCATGTCAGCGATCTCAAAATAAAGTAGAGAACGGTGACGGGCTGCTGCTGTCAGTCTTTTTTTCTTTCTTTTCTTTGCTTATGGTCGTCTGTGAGGAGTCACAACGGCTGATGTGCTCTCAAGGCGGAGCCTGGTGGTAGGTTTGGTTTTCCACTCTTTCACAGTGGGAAAGGAAGTTTCTTCAGTATCTTAGCATGTGGATGTTTTCATTGCCTCTGATGAGATGGCGTTCATTTTTTTAAGCCATTAAACCATGAGCAGAAATGGGCTAATAGTTCTCGAAGGGCAAGGACTGATTGATAGGCATACTTTGGCAAAGTTGAATTGATTCTTAGAGGTCATTTCCATTGCTTTGTATGAGGTCATGTTCACTTTTTTTTTAATCCATTAGGCTATGAACAAAAATGGGTCAATACTTCTAGAAGTGCAGAGACTTCACATAAAGGCAGACTTTGGCAAAGTTGGACAAATTCTTAGAGGCCCTGTTTTTAAACAATACCATCTCTGAATCTTTAGGAGATTTCATTCACCACCATTTACTAGAGGTTTACTCGATGGGTTAGGAAAGTGGTTGGTGCAAGGCAGGAAATGTCCTGCAAGTGCCTGAGCAGCACGTGGTATTAGCTCACAGCAGTGCTGGGAGGTAGCTGGTTCTGTGCTGGTGCAGTGGCTCGATGGGCCTAGTACCTGGGTTTCCACCCTGATGTCCTTAGCTATTATTGGCTTTTTGTTCTCATGTTTGTCACCTCGTGGTTGCCTGATGATGGCAACTGCAGCACCTTCCTTCCCCTGCTTCCCACCCATTCTGCACAGGAAGGCAGGAAGTCATTAGGGAAATAAGAGTTCTCCAGAGGCCTCTGGGCAGACTCTGCTGACATCTCATTGCCTGTCACCATGACAGTTAGCTGCTGGGAGCAGGAAGGGGGCTATTTAGGTTTCTTGCCTTAATAGAGGAGATGAGCAAAGGAGGGGCTTGCCTGCCATGTGCCAGGCACTTTGGTTTGGGGACATCATTGTGCTCGCTGTGAAGAGTGGAGTCTACTAGGACTTGGCAAGTGCCCTCAGGCTGCTTCTTGAACATCAGTGTGCATGTAATTCACATTCAGAATTCACGTGGGGCTATTGTTACAAAGCAGATTCGGATTTGGAAGAGCTGGGGTGGGACCTCAGTCTGCATCTTTCACGAGCTCCCAGGTGTGTGCTGCTGGTCCATGGACCATAACTTGGAAAGCAGGCTCCAAGGAAGAAGTGAAAAAAACATCACAGAAAAGGGGACTTTTGAATAGTGTTCTGAAGGACCAATAGGAGTTTGCCAGGCAGGGAAGTGGAGGGAGGGGAAGGGAGTTGGTGTGAAAGGGCTTGTACTTTTGGGGAGACATTGAGAGAGACATTTAGTTGCTGTTTGCACCCTGGAGAGCTGTGTGGGCACGGAACATCTGGGGGAAATGTATGCTATAAAGGGATTGTGAAGGGTTGGTTTGGACTTTATCCCGTAGAAGCTGAGAATCCAGAGATGGTCTTTAAGTAGAGAGTGGTAGCATTTTCATTTTTCTTTCTTTTCTTCACCCAGTTAGTGCCTGGTGGCATTGTGGAGGATTGGTTACTTTTTTTTTTTCCCAAATGTTTTATTGCAGCTAAATTTGATGGCTATTATTTTGAGCATAAAGAAAATTGAAGATGGGCGCGAAGCTGCTTGGCCTGTTTGTGGCAGACTTGGGAATTTCATTCTCATACTTGTCAGATCCTACATTGTACATTCAGCTGCAGAATCCAGTTGGTGGAGTTGGCACAGGCAGAGGAGAAAGACCAATTTGCAGTCTTGAGATCGTTTGCTTTGAGATCTACAAAAGCACTCACTACAGTTTCAAATGTGCCTTTATCATGCTAAGCCTTTAAGTTACTGCTTCTTCTCTGCAAGTTTTGCAATTAGAACTCCTCCTTACTCTTAACACACTGATTGTTAGGGGCCCGCCATGTAGACTGTCTTTTGGAGTTGAATGGACTAGATGGTTGTTAAAGTGGGTTTTCATCTTCCAGAATGAGATGAGTTGCTTGGGCCAACCTTGGGATGCTTCAGAAGCTTCTCTAGTGCCACCTTTATCCTTTTCTCTTTTTACACAGATGCTTTTTCCTGTCCTGGTTCTCACCTGGGCACTTTTCCTCTCTATGCCTCTTCTACCCCCTGGGACATTTATCTGTCTGGAGACATAGTTGGTGAGGGGTGCTCTTGGCATCTGGTGGGTAGACTCCAGGGATGTCCTACAACGCCCAGGACAGTGAAGGGTTATTCAGCCCAAAATGTGACAAGTGTTTTGAGCCTCCTCAGCACAAGATTTTCATGCTTTCGCAGCTCTAGCATTGGTTACTTTGTTACTTTGCCCCTTCTCTGTATGTTTTGCAGGAGCATTTGGGTAAAACTTGGCCTTGATCCAGTCTCTTTCTCAGTAAAATGGTGAAAGTCAATAAATCATTTTGAAACCTGAATACTCATCATTCTTCTTAAAGGGGAAGTCATTCTTCCACTCTACTAGGAGTCTGGGTGCTTCAGATTCTTATAGGTACTTTTTGATTTCTAGTACTCAGTGTCCTTTTGCAGAAAGTAAAAAAAGATGAATGAGCATCTTTCAGGCAGGAAAGATGAGTTTCATAGCAGCAGTTTGCAAACCATGCTCCCACAGAACAGCTAGAATGGGATGATCCACTGGCAGACAGCTGGGGGGCTTCTTCCAAGTTTGCAATGAAACAAAAAGTAATTGATGAATAGAATTTTACCTCTTGTGTTTTCCCTTGAACTTCAGTGCCTGGCAGTGCTTATTTATTACTGAGATGGCCTCAGTAGAAAGGAGTTATGGCAAACTTCTGAACCATCAGAGGATTATATTTGCTTAGTTTCACCCAAGCTTTCCACGAACTCATCTGTGGAGTGCTGACATTACACTCTAGACTGTGACACTGATCGTCCTGATTGGTAGAGGCCTCTAGTGATTGGCACTTCATCATGCTTATCACAAAGTAGTCTGACCTCACAGTGTCCCCTGAATTAATTTGAAATGTAGGAAACAAAATGGATAGGCTGTAAAACAAAAGGTATCTCCTCCGATCAGCCCCCTTGTCTGTCCAGTGCTGCCTTGCATTTTAGTGAAGTTCTAAATCTCTGAAAGAGAAGGGAGGTGAGGGAATCACCTGAAAGGGTCCCAGCCCTTTCAGGTGACAGCAGAGCGTTGGTGGTATAGTGGTGAGCATAGCTGCCTTCCAGGTGACAGCAGAGGCTGTAGAGGTGAGGCCTCTACAGCTGAGGGCCCAGAACCAGAGTTGACGTCCACACTTCTGCCCTGCTGGAGTCCTGGCCTGGGTTGGCTTGGGCACGACCACTGGAAGGACAGGTCTCAGCATAACACTTAGAGTGGACGTGCGGAGACGCGCAGTGCTCTCCCTCTGAGATTGCACACTGATTCGTGGTGGAAATAAGGCCATGCAGCTGGCTTCCTGTGTGTGCCGTTGCTCTTCAGGCTCAGGCACTCTTAAATTTTTCCTTAAAACCCAGTCCTTCCAGACTGTGTCCATGCATGTGTGACACATGTGGCTTCTCATCAAGCTCAGTGAGGAGTCGTAGGAATTCAAGAGATTTCCCAAGAGGACTGTGTGAGGGATGAAAACACACAGGATGGTCTCAGGCTTCCATCTTTGCTCATGTTCTACTTCATTTTGTGCTGCTATAGCAAAATGCCTCAGACTGGGTCATTTATG